AAGCGCAAGCGGAATGTAACTGGTGTCATGATCGCCTCAACGCGAAAGGGACCACAGAAGCGAGGCCGGAGCTTGGACGGTAGGTGAGACAGGTTCAAGTTGTGCGTGTCAAGAAGCACCTGATCTCCGACTGCTACTGAGTGATCTCGTCGTTGGCGATCGGCATACTGCTTCTGGGAGTTCTGCATCGTGGTGAGACGTCGCTGAGTCTTCTCCCATAGCTGCTGCATGGTGGTGACGAAGTCGTGTGCGGCTTGGACGTGTGCCGGTGTGGTTGGCTGCTGTGGTGTAAGTGGTTCCCGTCCGTAGCACAGGAAGAATGGAGATTTCCCTGTGGCCGCATGCGACGCGTTATTGTAAGCGAACTCAAGTGTCGGTAACTGTGAATCCCAGTGGCTGACGTCGTCTTTGCAAGCTGTGTGCAGTAACTGTTCAACCACCTGATTGAGTCGCTCTGTCTGTCCGTCAGTCTGGGGGTGGTACGCTGAAGACATTGCAAGCTTTGTCCCCAACAATCCCATGAGTTCCCTCCAGAACTTACTAGTGAACTTAGGGTCTCTGTCCGAGATAAGTGTAGCGGGGATGCCGTGGATGGTGATGATGCGGTCGAAGAAGAGGCGAGCAGTTGCTTCAGCAGTAGCCGTGGCGTTGGTCGGGATGAAGTGTCCCATTTTAGAGAACTTATTGATCACCACGAGTATAGCGTCATGCCCTCGTGAGGTCGAAGAAAGCCCAGTAATGAAGTCTAGGCTGACAACTTGCCATGGCTGCTCCGGTACGGGTAGAGGCTGAAGTAACCCTACTTTTTTCTGCTTGCTATTCTTCATCCGCTGGCACGTGTCGCATGAAGTGACGAACTGCTGCACGTCTGTTGCCATCCGGGGCCAGTAATAATACTTTGCTATTCCCGCTAACGTCTTGTTGCTCCCGAAATGTCCCGCGTATGCCACATCGTGAAATTCCTCCAGTAAGATCTGTCGGAGCGGGGCATAGTTCGGTACCCAAATCTTTCCTGATCCCTTTCTTACAGCTAGGTCCTTCTCCCACTGTAACAGCTTCTGTTTCTCTGCTGTAGCGATCTCTGCGTCCACGGAGTATCCATGCTGGAATAGACCCTTGAGCAGAGGGTTCATCCCGTCGAGTTGGATGCCTGCTACATGACCGGGGCGGCTCAACGCGTCAGCTTTGTTGTGTAGCCCGGGCTTGTAGACGATGTCGTAGTGGAAGTGGGTCTCCAAGAAGTCTACCCACCGCACCTGTCGTCGTGAGAGCGTCGGCTGCGACTTCAGGTATTTGAGGCTGCAGTGGTCAGTGTAAACTATAGTCTTGGCTCCCTCTAGGTAACACTTCCACGCCTTGAAGGCTGTGACTGTTGCTAAGGCTTCCTTGTTATGGATAGGGTAGTTCAGTTCTGCTCCGTATAGCTTCTTACTCAGATAGGCGATGGGCTGCAAACCGCGTCCGTGATCCTGCATCAGTACTGCTCCGACTGCTTGGTCACTAGCGTCTGCTTCCACCACGTAGTCCCTGTTTGGATTGATCCGGTAGGATGAGTACTAGCGCTGTAGTCAGTGCTGTCTGTAGCTGCTCCATGGCTTGCTGATGAGGAGTATCCCCTGTATCCGTCCACCTTCGCAGCTTCACACGTTTCCCATTGTTGTAGATACACGCCTTCCGGTTGACCCAGTCGATCTCGGGGTTGAACTGCTTCAGAAAATCACGCCCCAAGATGAAATCTAATCCCTTGATGTTCGTGATCGGCAACGTCGGCTTCCACCTTAACGCTCCTATCTGCAGCTGCAGTGTTGACTCGCCGTGGATGGGAAGCTTCGTACTGTCCACCATCGTTGCTGTAAACTGGGTCTCTTCTGAGGATTCTTCAATTTTCTCCAACGTCCCGCAGTCGCACACCGAGTGGGACGCACCACTGCCCACTAGTGTCTGGAGGCGTCGCCCGTTGCAGATCACCTCGAGTACTATAGCTGTTGCTGCTCCGAGTAGTTGTTGATGGTATCGCTTATAGGATCGTAGGGTACGTCGAATATGTGATCCCAAGGTCCTGCGCTCGAAGATGCAGCTTCAATATCAGGTATCACCTGAGTAGGGTTAGAAGGATTTATCCGAGGCTGGTACAGCTTCTCTTGAGCCTGGAACCTTCCCCTAGGCCTTTGCAGCTGTGTAGGCTTCATCTGTGGGGAACAGGGAGCCTTTAAACAGAGCTGCTGGGAGAGAATATTAACTCCTCGGAACGCTCGACCCTTGTTAGCGCTCCGGAGTAGGGTCCCCATATTACCCGGTACCGGTTTAATTTCTGACTCTCCCTTAATAAAGGCTTGAAACCCACGAGAAGTAATATTCTTACTTGTCGGGGTGTACGGCTGGAGTTTCCCAGTCGGTGCAGAGTCTTGATTTGCGGAGTCTCCATTTGTCTCGGCGATTTCCCCTGGTGCCGGCTGGTCGTGACGTTTTAAATTCGCGCCATCATATTCTCCTTTTTTCGCCCTCTCCGAAGTTGCCACGTTGCCTGTTTTCTGCTTCGGGGGTGCCGCACTGTTCTTGTATCTCAGCTCCGCACGCCTTCCCTTCATTTCCCAACACGCCAAGATACGATGTCCTGTAGCGCCGCAAAATTTGTACGTCTCAGTTTTTGCTAGCCGCTGCTCCACATCGCCCTCGTCGTTCTCCATCGGTTCAGCAGTCGTGGGTGGTGCCAATCGCCCCATGCCACTAGTTGGCTTGTTGCGTCGTGTTCCGTAGTAGCTACTGTTCAACGTGTCGAACTGTTCGATCAGTGCTGCCCGAAACTGCGCCCACGTCCCTTCGCCTTGGACTATTCTGTTGTTGATCCACTCTAGAGCTGGGCCTTGTAACAGTGTTGCTGCGAGCCGTATGCGCATTGCGTCTTCTGTCGGGGTCGTGCATCCAACGGCTTCGAAGTAAATTTCGAGTTCAGCTACAAATCGACGAACGTCGTTCCCTTTAACTATAGGATCGAACGCCTCCGGTAGCCTCAGCTTCACTGCTTCGAGGTTAACTGTAGCTGCTGCTGCTGCTGCTGCTGTCGCTGCTGCATTCGCTGCTGCTGTGGCGGTTGCCGACTGGTTCGCAAGGAGTTTCTCAAGTCGTGGGAGCGTCGAACGTATCTGCTTATGCTCGGCACGTAACTCCGCGATTTTCTGTACTGAAATATCTCTTTTTCCCTCCATTTGGCGATTTACAGAAAGAAGCGCGACGAAAATAATTGATTTATGGGTGCTGGTCGACTTACTGCGAGTCGAATCGAATGTAAAATCGACGAGCACAAATTCTGTAAGTCGCGTAAATCTTCCTTAGTTGAAATTCGCGTTCGATCTCGGCCGTTGAGAAGAAACTCGATCCGACGCTCCAAATTCCAACTTTTTGGGGCGAAATTCTCTGGGCCGTTGAGATGAAACTCGATCGAACGGTCGAAACTCCAACCTTTCCACCAGAAATCGGAGGGGTGTTCGAGGGGGACTTAGAAAAATTGCGCGGAACTGGTTTTACATACCCGTATCGGCGCCTTCGTAGTCGCTCCTGCGATTTTTAAAGGCCGGAACTACGCGGTTGAAGACCTCGCGTGTAAACCCGCTCTGATACCAAGTGTGAGGATCTGGTTCAGGAAAGATGATTCTATTGAATGATTCACCTGGGTACAAGGTGAGGCTATATATAGGCTCGACACAAAGGCAGTAACCCGGGTGTGACTAGAAGGTTCCGCGGGTCGCGAAGCGTCCCGAACGGGTCCTTCGTAGAAGGCAATTCGGTGGCAACCGAAAAGCCTAGAATTCGGTGCACTCAACCTAGTTCGGTGCCTAAAACTATAATAATATAGTAAAAGCAACGAACCTAGGAAATCTAGCAAAAGCAAGCAAAATAAAGCAAAGCTAAGCTAGATAATGCATAGTAAAGCAGAATCAAGCTACTAAAGCGTAGCAATGACGTCGTACTCTCACAAATAGCCAGGGGGGGAGGTGGGGGAGGGATGCTCGTGCTATGTCCTCGTGGAGCTGTAGGGTGGAGGGATGGGGAAAGGGCGTGGGGGAAGGAAGGGAAGAAAGGTTCACAGGGTGGAGTGTGAGTCGGCATGAAGAACGAAGATGGTGGATAGCCAAGGGGGGAAGGTCGGGGAGAGATGCTCTTGCTGTCTCTCCGTGCAGCTGGGGTGGGGAGCAGGTTGGGGATGGAGGTAGGGAAAAGTGGGAGGGGGAAGTGGGGAGGAAAGCAGGGTTCACATCACAGGATGCTGTGTGCGTCGAAATGAAGCACAAAGATGGCTGATAGGGAGGGGGAGGGTAGGTGGGGGAGAGCGGCACGAGCTGTCTCTCCATGGAGCTGAGAAGGACGGGTGGGGAAAAAGCGTGGGGTTAGGAAAAAAAGGTTTGCACGGCTCCGTGTGAGGCAAGGAGGGAGGTGGAAACAAGTTGTTTGTGCCGCCGCCCCGTGGAGCTGGGGTGCAGGCGTGGAGTGGTGGGAGGGAGGGGTAAGGGGAGGGAGGGAGAGGATGAGGTAAAGGGAGGAAAGAAGGGTTCACGACGTGTGTGTCAGAGTGAAGGGGGTGCGGCAGAAAGCTCGTGCTGTATCCCTGTGCAGCTGAGTGAGGTTGGGGGGAGCAGGCGGGGAGGGAGCGGTGGAGAGGTTGATTTGGAAAGGAGAAGTGTTTTGAGTCGACTCAAATCACGTGCTGAGTCTCTGTGAAGCTGATTGGGTTGGGGGGAGCAGGCGGGGAGGGAGCGGTGGAGAGGTTGCATTGGAGAGGGGGAGGGCAGGGAAAGAGTGGTAGTGGGGAGTCGGGAGAAAAGCAGGATTGATCAAGGTGGTGTGTGTTTCAGCATGCAGTATGAAGCTGGTGGATAGCCAGGGGGGAGGTGGGTGAGGGATGCTTATGCTGTCTCTCCGTGGTGTTGGGGTGGGGGGAAGGGGAGACGAAATAGGGCAACAACTACAAAGAAGATATTAAGAGAGGTGAAGTATGTGTGTGTATGTGTGTATGTGTGTGTGCGTGTGTGCGTGCGTGTGTGTGTGTGTATGTGTGTGTGTGTGTATGTGTGTGTGTGTGTGTGTGTGTGTGTGTGTGTGTGTGTGTGTGTGTGTGTGTGTGTGTGTGTGTGTGTGTGTGTGTGTGTGTGTGTGTCTGTGTGTGTGTGTGTGTGTCTGTGTGTGTGTGTGTGTGTGTGTGTGTGTGTGTGTGTGTGTGTGTGTGTGTGTGTGTGTGCGTGCGTGCGTGTGTGTGTGTGTGTGTGTGTGTGTGTGTGTGTGTGTGTGTGTGTGTGTGTGTGTGTGTGTGTGTGTGTGTGTGTGTGTGTGTGTGTGTGTGTGTGTGTGTGTGTGTGTGTGTGTGTGTGTGTGTGTTTGTGTGTGTGTGTGTGTGTGTGTGTGTGTGTGTGTGTGTGTGTGTGTGTGTGTGTGTGTGTGTGTGTGTGTGTGTGTGTGTGTGTGTGTGTGTGTGTGTGTGTGTGTGTGTGTGTGTGTGTGTGTGTGTGTGTGTGTGTGTGTGTGTGTGTGTGTGTGTGTGTGTGTGTGTGTGTGTGTGTGTGTGTGTGTGTGTGTGTGTTTGTGTGTGTGTGTGTGTGTGTGTGTGCGCGCGCGTGCGCACGCGTGCGCGTACATGTATGTGCATGTGTGTGTCTGTGCAAGTGTGTATGTGTGTGTGTGTATGTGTGTGTGTGTGTGTGTGTGTGTGTGTGTGTGTGTGTGGAAGAAGGCAGGGGGGCACAAGAAAAGAAGTAGGAAGTGAGGCCATTGTCAGAATGTGATGTTTGTCTAGCATGCAGTGGGGTACTCTATAGCGAGTACAGCCCAAATTAGGGTTTGCTATATGTACTCAACTGCCTGCTAGTGAAAACCCTCTTTCCTGTTTCTCGTTTCTGCCTGCTGTTTTAACATGCTATCAGAGCGGTTACGCTCCTGGCCTGTGGGCCCACCGTTAGCTTCCGCTGCTGTCCTGTCTGTCGCGCGCCCCGTGGCGCGCGACGTTTTTTCTTCCCGCCACGCGCTCGGGGCGCATGGCGGTTTTATTTTCTGCTTGCCGCGCGCAAAGAGCGCGCGGCGGTTTTCTGCCCGCCGTGCGCCTTGGGGCGCGCGGCGGTTTTCTGCCCCGTCGACCCGCACGTCGCCCTCTGTTGACGGTCGCATCGCCCCCGCTCCTTCGTCGCGACGCCCTGGGGAGCCGCTCGCTGCCCCCCGCTGCCTCGTCGCGGCGCCCTGGGGAGCCGCGCGCGGCCCCCGCTCCCTCGTCGCGACGCCCTGGGGAGCCACGCGTGGCCCCCGCTGCCTCGTCGCAGCGCCCTGGGGAGCCGCGCGCCGCCCCCCCCCCGAGCTGCTGCCCACGCTGCCCCCCGCTGCTGCCCGCACTGCTGCCCGTGTTAGGGTTTGCGGATGGCGAGTGTGGGGGTGGCGAGTAAGGGGGTGACGGGTTTGTGCGCTGTCCCCTGCTCCTCCTCCTCCTCCTCCTCCGTCTCCCACTGCTGCAGCTGCCGCTGAGGGGGGTGGATGTGTTGGAGCCGTCGGAGTGGTACGAGGGGGGTGGCGTGTGAGCAGTGCTAGAGGTACAGCAGGGGGTGTGTGAAAGGGGTGTGGGACAGCTGGGGGAAGTTGAGTGGAGGCAGCCGTCTTGTCGTCCGCAGCGCCTGTAGTCCAGAGAGCCAGCTGCGTCTGTGGCCGTGTAGTCCGGGGCTCTGCGCCTGGTAGCCACAGTGTGAGCACTCCTGGTAGTCCAGAGAGCCAGCTGCGTCTGTGGCCGTGTAGTCCGGGGCTCTGCGCCTGGTAGCCACAGTGTGAGCACTCCTGGGAGCACATAGAGCCAGCTGCGCCTATCGCCGTTTAGTCCGGGTATAGCCTGGTAGCAACAGTGCTGTGCACTCTTGTTGCCCGTGTGTCTACAGCTTTAGCCGTCACCTCCCATCTTCTCGCGTCCACACTTTCTCCTCCTCCTCACTTGCCCTCTGTGATAGTCTCTAGCTTTGCTTATCATTGTGAACTATTGCTCTGCCTGCTTGTTGTGCTGATTATACCCCACTTTGACTATGGGGGTGTGTCAGAATGTGATGTTTGTCTAGCCTGCAGTGGGGTACTCTATAGCGAGTACAGCCCAAATTAGGGTTTGCATATATGTACTCAACTGCCTGCTAGTGAAAACCCTCTTTCCTGTTTCTCGTTTCTGCCTGCTGTTTTAACAGGCACAGGCATGGGATGATGTCAAGGGGCCACAGGCATGGGATGGGAGAGGAGGAAGAGTTTTAGATGGTTGTGTTGTCTGTCTGCGTGCAATTGGAGCGGAGAGAGAGCAAAAAGAGAAAGGCAGGGGGTGGGGTTGATTGTGTGTGAGTGCATGTGTGTGTGAGTGCGTGCGTGGGTGCATGCGTGCGTGTGAAAAAACAGTAAATCACGTGGAGGTCGTAAATCTCAGACAAATAGGCTTTGGAGGAATATGTTTCATGAGGCACCATGCTTCGGGTGGGTGTTAGAGAGGGTAGTACCGAGGCACTATGCTTCAAGCCCAGCCGCATGTGGGGGCCACCGATGGAAAATGTCTCGTAGGAATATCTCGTGGGAATATCTCGTGGGAATGTCTCGTGGGAAATGTTTCTTCCTTCCTAGTTCCCAGCTAGGATGACCATTGGAATCCACACTCCTTTCACTCCCACTCTCCGACTCAATTTTTGAGTCGACTAATAAAATGATACCTAAGGGAACGTAGTGGAATCTCGCCCTCCTCACCCACCCACCAACCAAATTCCCGCTCATCCCCACGTCAACACAATCAAGAGAGAGTATGGGGATGGGATAATAATTGGGTCTAATAATGCAACGTTTGAGTCGACTCATAAGGTATTCAGGTGGGAGTACCAGGATCAGCTCGATTGGGTTTGACACCTCATTAGGCAACTTATTTCCACAGCAGCAGCAGCAGCATTGCTTTGGGGAAGGAAGAACCTAGTTTTGAGTCGACTCAGAACTGGGCAGGAAGAAGTTCTCGCTCCTCGTCTCCCTTCCCCTCCCCCCCCTCCCCCTCCTTCCCACTCCCCCCTCCTCTTTTTCTTTCCCCTTAACCGTGCATTCCCCAACTCAGCACCATGGGCCGAAAGTACACGGCTGCGCTCACCCTGGGCGATGGAACCACCTTCACAGGGCACAGCCTCGGCGGCACCACTGCCACGGCGTCACCTCTGCCTCTCATGCTTTCCACGGTTGTGGCGTCCTCTCCCGATGCCTCGCTGAGTTCCTTATCTGGTTTGCATGCTCGCTTAGTCAGCGCTACACCTTGTACTCACTTAAGTCAGCGCTACCCCTTGCTGATAGCTCTGTCAGCGCCACCACTTGTTGCTTGCTGAAAATGCGTCAGATTCCAGAGGGGTATGGCGCATAGTAAGCTTCATACTCGTGGTCTCACACTCTTTTTTCACACTCGTCGTTTCACAGCCGGGGTTCACACCCAAGGTTCAAAGCCGGGGTTCGCAGCTAGGGTTCACAGCCGGGGTTTACAGCTAGGATTCACAGTTGGGGTTTCATAGTGGAGTAGATCTGAGTCACTTGAGAGGAGAAATTTCTCAAGCGACTCAAAGATTGCCAAGGTGGGCTGACAGCTGACTCAAAGAGTTGCCTGCCTTTTCCGCACCCCTTCCATCCACCAGGCTTCCACCTGCGACTTTGAATCCCAAAAATGCAAGAAAAGTCAACTTTCTTGACTCAAAAGTCAAATTCGCACCCTTTTCATCCACCAGGATTCCACCTGCGATCCGGAATACATAGATGCAACGAAAGTGGTTAACAAGTTTCTTGTGGGCACTGTGGACGAAAGGGTGCACAAGAAGTACAGCGTTGACGCAGTGCTCATGTGGGCAGACACGCTGGGAGCAGCTGCTATACTTGTTATAAGCGAGGTCGCGGAGTATGACGTGCTTCCTATCTTCTCCTACACGAATACTCCCAGCATCGTTTTGAAGTTCTCGCAAGGGCAGACCATTAGGAAATACATCGGAGTCGAAAACAGGCAAGAAGCTCCTAATATCTTTCTTTCTTTCTTTCTTTCTTTCTTTCTTTCTTTCTTTCTTTACTTCTTTATCTCTTTCTCTCTTTCTATCTTCCTCTCTTTCTCTCATGTACGGGATGTCTTTCTCAAATATCCTCTATTCTCAAAACACTCGCTTCCTTAAATGGCTATTTCTACGAACCCCCAACCCCAAACCCACCCCACCCGCCTTACCTTTCCCCTCTTCTCCACCCGCCCTCCTCTATTTCCTCCACTCTACCCTCCCCTCTTCCCTCATTGCTTTCCTTACATTTCCTTATTTCTACTTTGTTCCCCTTTTCCACCTTTTCCTTCCATCTCGCCCTTCCCCCTTCCCCCTCTTTCCCCCCCCACCCCCTTCCCCTCCCCCTTCCCCCTACCCTTCATGTCAATTTAGCCCCACAGCCACGCTGCCCGCTTTCACCGTCTCCCACTCCTCCAACGCCCCTCAGCTCGCTTACTTCTCCTCAACCGGTCCCCCACACAGCCCGCACTACCCTCGTGCTCTTCCCATCCATGACTTTCCCACCAACGACATTCTTAAACCCGACGTCATTGGCCCCGGGGTCCAACTATGGGCCGCAGCTCCGGGTAAATCGCTCGATAATGCTGCGATCAATCCCCCCGAGTTTAACTACTATTCCGGGACGTCTATGTCGACACCGCATTTGGTGGGGATCATGGCGCTGATTGTGCAGAACGAGCCGAGCTGGTCCCCCTAGCAGGTGATTTCCGCGATAACTACCACGACGTATACAAGGAATGAAAACTGGCAGCCGATTCAACGGGCGAATGGAAAGAAAGCGAACGCGTGGGATTATGGAGGAGGGCATGTCAAACCCACACACGTCTTGGACCCTGGGCTCACGTTTCATGCGGCGCACAAGCATTTCGTAAATTTCCTTATGATGAGGGACTCGATAAGAACGAAGAAGCGCTTCTGGCGCATGGGAAAGGCGCATCCGATTTTTCCTTGGAACTTGAACTGCGCCTCGATAGCGGTGACTCGAGTATACGGCGTTACAGTCGTGTACCGACGAGTTAAAAACATCTACAACTTGCAATCTACTTCTACAGCAAAGGTGGACCCTCCACCTGGCTTTCGCGTGAAAGTTTGGCCGAAGAAGATCAAAATCAATCATGGAAAAGCCAGGGTGCTTAGGGTCGCAAACACCAGGTTCTTGCCTTTGGAAGCTTTTAGGTTTGGAACATTCACATGGATTGACCAACATGGGCACTTGGTGCCAGTGCACCTCGTGGTTAGGTCTCCCATTTTGCCGTGATTGTCAAGAGTAAAGTGGCTTGTGCACATATGTTTGGTTTATTTGCTGCAATCTTTGTAAATACGTCGAAATCTCCATAAATGATTAAAACCACTCAAAGTCTAGTAAGATCAAACACCATATTGTTCGAGAGGCACATGCAAAACCACAGTGGGAAGGCGCCAAGCCCAAGCTCTCCAGTCCAACCATTGACTGATCAACTCCTCAAACACCCTACATCAATACCACATCCAACGAGCAAATATAGGTGAAAGCAGGCGAACAACTTTGCTGAAATCTGAAACAACTTGTTACGTGCTCAACTCTCAAACTTCACATAACTTTGCTTATTGCTGCTTCACTCGACCACCCAACTTCATGCTACCTGGGCCACGTGCCAAACTGTATTTGTTTATATGCTTGGTAGACTAGTTGGCTAGCTTGAGGTATTCTTTAGGGAGTATGACTTTGTTAACATGAAAGC